CAAGGCCTTTGCACCATTTAGTATTTCTTCAAGAGTCTAACAGCCGTTGAAATAAATAATTTGTCATGAGGGATGGAAGAGAGCATTTTTTTCCTCTTAAAAAAAAGGAAGGCTTTTTTTTTTTTTTTAATTTTGAGTGGCCAAAAAAATAGCTAACATGTCCAACTTAAAGTCTTCACAGCAGAAGAATCTGTCTTCTCTTTCATTTAATTCAGTGATTTCCACTTGGTGTCAAAGCTTGTTACTAAACCCAAGACAACAAGTGAGCTAAGACTTGAAGGTGATTCGGAGCTCATGAAATAAAAGTGGAGAGAACACTTAATAGCATATTTAATTGATAAATATATGAATACATGGTTGAAGAGGATAATGTATATGCAATAAAAGTCTTTGGAGAAAAATAATTGTTTATCAAAAATGCAGGGTTTACATGGGGAGGTAATGGCAGGAGATTAGAGATGTAGATAGGGAAGAATCACAGAATGCCTGCATCAAAGGGCAGTATTTATTAGCCCCTAACGTGTCCCAGGTGCTCTGTTCAATGCTAAGGGTATATCCATAGACAAAGCTGGTATGCCTCTCCTATCAGGAGCCTTTATTTATTTCTCATATCACTTTATCCTGTGAGGAACCATCAAAGAGTTTTTAAGTAGACCATGGCATGGCCATTTTCAAGTTTTAAGAAGACCACTCAAGCATAATAGGTGGGTAACAGGATAGTGGGATGATATTGAAGGTAGGGAGACAGGTAAGAGACTGGTAACTAGATGAGAGACCAAGAGGGCTGCACCCAGGCATCAGCAGTGGTAATGGAAAGGATAGTTTCTAGAACAAACTCACTTTGAAATCTAGAGCTGTCACTGTTCTAAGCTCTCTTTGTCCCACAAGCCTGATACCACTTTAACTCTTCAGATAAACAGGACATAACTCAGTTGGGTAGCCATGCCCTTCCTGTGCCTTTATTCTAAATGATGTTGCCCCTCTGCTTTCACTCAGAGCCCTCCTTTCCAGTTTAAGGTGCAGCTCAAGACCATCTACTGCTCAGGCCCCGAGGAGCCTCTGAATGCCCTTCCTCTCTGCTGTTGCACTTAGATGGATAACCCATCTGAATAGGTCAGAAAGCAGGGGTTATTATTTTATGTCACTGTCACATTTCCCTGCAGTTGACTATAAGCTACCTAAAGGTGTATTGCTCTTCCTAGCACCCTTAGAATCTAGAGCAAGTCCAGAACAGAGTGCCCAGTACTTCTTCCTGATAATATCAGTCCCTGATTTTGTGGAACACACCAGAGGGACCTTCCCAGCTGATAACATTCATCTCCAGGCTCTTACCCAGCAATGTTAATGTCCCCTACTCATTCTTCTTAAGTCAGTCTTTCTACTTCTAAACCTTGAGCATCTCCTCATTTCCCATTGAATCTGTACCTCTGTTCCCATCATACTGACCCAGAAACAATCCTTACTGAGGTATGATGGTTAACTTTGTCTCATGCTGATCCTCTTTCCCAAAGACATTCTTGCTCATCCTTTCTGGTGGTCTAAAACTAAGGACATCCTTCAAATCCAAGAAACCTGCTCAGCCTCTTACAATTCCAGTCCTCAAAGATTTCCTATGGCTAAACTGTCATAGAACTTGCAGTGTGTCCCTCAGCAGGCAATTATTCCCAGACTTGGGTTTGCCATTGTGTTTCTTCATCTCCCAACTGGCTTGTGAGCTACTCAAGGGTCACCATTCTCCAAGGGCATCTGGTGCACGTCCATATATACAGGGGTCATGAATGTATTTTATAGGGTTGACATAACACAAATCTACTTTGATGACTTAAATCTTATCAGAAAATTTTATTGTCCACCTCCCAATTTTCAGTGGTAAGCAGTGCTGAGAAAGAAGTATCTCTTTGGAGTGGTAAGCTTAAAACTTTAGTGAAATTTCTAGTGTCTTTTCCATGGCATTGCTGCTGATTCTGAGTCAGTATTCATTTGTGGTGACTCTAAGCCTCCCATTATGATTCACATTCTAAAAATGGGGTAAGGTTTTTACTGAGAAACTAATCCTAATCTGAATATAGCCTCACAATTATTGGGTTTCTCTGTGTATTTTGAGCTGCAAGCATAGTCCTTCTAAAGGCTTAATGTCTTAGGGTTTATTAAATATTCCATGGTAAATGCCTAGAATCCACTTCATGGGATTATGCGCGGGATCCTGTAATAAAAGTCCTTCTTGTGACTACATATTATTTATAACTGCCCCATGTCTGACCTGTGACAAGTTAAGTAAGGGTAGATAGATCTTTGGGGCTCTTTTTCATTCATACCTTCTGTGATGTTCCTCAACCAGAATGTATCTTGGCAATAAAGAAGAAGTTTCAGAATTGGCCTTCTGGGCCCTATAACTAAGCACTTGACTCCACTTGACATCTAGGGGAACTGCTTTTACAGTAACTACACAGGGAAATCATTAAATATGTAAGTGACAGAAATGAGGTGGTTTCCTTACACCTGCATTCTAGTCCTAAGACTTCCACTAAGGAGTTGTGCAGCCTTGGGTGATACATTTAACAACAGCAGTGATAGTTATGGCTAACATTTACAAAGGGTTTGGAATGGGGCCTGGTGCAGAGTCTGCCCTCTGTAAGGACACATGCTGTTATTATCATTGTCATTGTTACAGAGGGCTTATTATATTCAGTAGCAAGTACTTGATATACATGATCTCACTTAATATTTAGAATTATGAAGTGAGTTTTGTTATTCTTTCTGTATAGGGGTGAACTGAAGCAAGACTATACAGGTCTCAAATCCAGACAGACTCTCTTCCTATCCCATGTTCTCACAATCTCTGTGGTTATACCTAATTTCCTTGAACCTCAGTTTTCTCATCAGTGAAGCTTAGGAGCTGCACTATTGATCTTTAAGACCCCCCAGATTTTAAAATTCCTAGGTATTTTCCCAGTACCTTTACCTTTTGCTTCTTTCTTCCTATCCCCTCCCCCACCTCACTCATCCATGGATTTTGCTATGTTCATCATCACGGGATCAGCAGGATGTTTTCCCCATTGAGTTATGATGCTGCATGTGTCAGCACATGGGCTTGTTTTGTGGCTTTCTTTTAGAGAGGGTGGGGTGGGAGATACGGTTTACATGCTGCTGCTGTTGTGGAGAGAGGAATCTGACTCTTCATATTTGCTGTCTTGTCTTGGCCTATAGCCATAACCACATTGAGTGACACTAATGTTTGACAGGGCTCAAAAAAAAAAAAAAAACCTTTATAGGCAGAAGCTCATGGATATCAGCTCTTTTGAGTGTGGGCTCTGCAGTGCTCTCTGGTAAGATCTGGTTTAGGAGATGTGCACTCCCAAGGCAGTTTGAATATGTCCTGTCCTGTGACTGGTAAGGATCTCATGAAAGGACTTGGATAGAGATTTCTGGGTGTTCCATCCTCTGTATACCTTGGGTATTCTGGCAGATTTCCACATAAGGAGTTTCCCAGGCTATTCATTGTTATTGGTGTTTGTATTTTAGTGGGTGATAGTCTCTATACATTCTGTAGTACTTTTTTTTTGTGGCTTATAACCCAAAGGTTCAAGTGTTTTGGCATCCAAAGACCAACCTCCATTAAAGGGTTATACCCATCCCCTCCTAGCTTGATGCTTATTGTGCCTCCTACTTGATCATTCTTTATGTGGTATTTTATTATGGAGAAAAAGAGTTATTTAATCACTCTCCTGAGGAATTCTTCCACTTAGAAAAAGCATCTTAAGAATCTTAGGACATCAAATAAGGGTTTGAGAACACTAAAAATGTTGAATAAATAACTTAATTTTTCTGACCAGATTTCTTCTTCTGTAAAAGAATTATAGTATCACCTGTCCTACTCAGCTGAAATGGCTATTAAATCAAATTAAGGATGGCCTGAAAATGTGTTTCTGAAAGTTATAAATTTTATAGAAAATTAAATTGTTTTAGGATGTATAAAACAAAACTGTTTTAATCATAAAAGGCAAAAGCTATTAAATGTTTCTATTTTGATTTTGCCCAGTGTAGGTTATTTGTTGAAGATAGTAATGTAAAATTTCCTCAGCTTTTCTTGTTTTTGTATGCCAGTGGGAAGGTTATGAGTTAAGTCTTTCTAGAAACTATCTGAATATTGTGAGTATTCAGTTAGTAAGAACTGATTTTGCTCAACATAGTAGCTCTTTTGTGGAAGCACATTAATTTTGCATTAATTCCTATTTTATTAATTCATCATTAGATCAAGAGGTAGGTTCAAGTTGTTAAAAGACATTAACAGCATAAACAAAATTATAAGCCAGTTAACTGTGCTTCTGTATACATAGAACATAATTGCAATGTAAATAAAGACTTGACATTTATGTGCTAATTCAAATTGGCCTAGCTTGAAACTGTATTTCTTTAATTCATATTTTTCACTAAAGCAAATATTCCCTATCCTCTTACTCCAAATGAATGAGATAATTCCATTTCGATTTTTCTTGATTGGTAAACCATGCTTGGAGGTACAATCTGGAGATTGTTGGGTTTCTGCCAAAGATTTAAATCAGGCTTGCAAAAAGTTACCTGCCTAAGGCAAGAAACTGCACTGATTTAATAGAAAAGAACATGCTTTTATTTTACCATCTGGTAAAATAAAGTGAAAACACTTTGAAAAGTTTTAATATTTGCTTTACCATGATAGCACTATATTATAGATAATATTTCTGAAATGTAAAGATTGCGGAAATTAGGGACCCTAGTTACCAAAATTTGATCAGTCAGATGATCAGAAGTCTGATATGAAGGTTTATCCAGAGATCTTGATACTAATGGCAAATGTTTCATCATAATAAAGGCAAGATAGGAGTAGAGAAAAATATGGCAAGTTATAAACTATCTCAGAATTTCTCATGGGCAGGGCTGAAAGTCCTAGGCCTGTTCGGATTTGGTAAAATGTGATGATTATCCTTTATCATTTGCTTTTTGTTTGTTTGTTTGTTTTACAGATATCTGCTTGGCAGATTAATCAAAGGCAAGAAAGGCTAATCTATGTTCTGAGTACTTCCCCCAGCAAGACCCCTGTTACAGACTGTAGGCCAAGTTGACCGTGCTGCCATATACCCCTCCACCCAGATATTATTCTAGGGTCCACCAGTGTGAAGATGACCAATGCCTTCCTAGCATGACGACCTTGGACCACGTAATTGCTACGCATCAGTCAGAGTGGGTCTCCTTCAATGAAGAGCCACTTTTTCCTGTCCCTTCTGAGGGTAAGGAGTGCTTTCATTTCCTAATGTGACAAGATTAGTGAAGAACCATGCCTGCTTGTTATATCTTCTACTTGGTCATTCTTTGAAAAGGATCTTAACAACAAAGAAAGTCTACTTTAGTCACCTTCCCAAGATGTGTGAATTTTTAAATTTATAAGTCTAGAGATGCATCTAAGTAACCTTAGGGCCTAGAAAAGAGCCTGGAAATACCAAAGGTATTGGTTCTTTTTTTTTTTTTTTTTTTTTTT